GAGTTAATAATGTGCAAAGTGGACAGACCATGTTAAGAGTATCGTAAAAATATCATTCTGAATAATCAAAGGGATCGCAAGAATAATAATATCAATAACAAAAGAATGATTAAGCTTAGGAATTAATTACTTTGGAAAACTAGTATGGACAATTAAAAGGATTGAGTCAATAATTCTTCTCGGCTATATTAAAAAAGTAACATGAAAAAATTTATTTATTTTAGAAATCCTGAGTTTGCAGAATAAATTTTAGGTGTTATTTTGAGTATGATTGAAATGACAGATAAATAGACAATTTGTTAAGAATTGTTTGCCAAATCCGATGAAAAGAAGGAAAAAAAAACTAAAAGTAAAAGCAAGGGAATAAAAGGATGGCTTGATAAATTTTGAATTAATTATAATTTTGAACAAATCTCTTGATTAGTTTTATAATATTCACAATAATCAACCAAGATCTAATTTCTGGTTTACTTAAGCAAGAAGGTTGAATATATTTAACATGTCAAATAACCATTTTTATCTTTCCTAAAACTTTGAATGTTCAGTCATTCAATATTTTTTTGTTTTTATTTCTATTTCACCCACTTTGAATATTTTATCATTCTGCTTATTAATATTTTCAATGCGTATTAAATATAATATATAATTGAATATTAAGTAATTTGGTATATAATAATTTTTATATGAATAATATTATTTAGCAAGTTCAAATATACAAGTAATAACATAAATCAAAAGATCAATTTCATATAAATTTGAGTTCTTCCAGGATTCCTTTTAGAACTGAAATTTCTATAGGCTTAGGTAAATGTAAATCTGCTCCAATTTCTAAAGACTTTTTGAGATCGCTTTCTCCCTAGAAACCAGACAACATACAGATCTTTGACCTTGAAAATTAGTTATTTTATTCGAACTGCCTAATCAATTTTGTAGCTTCGAATCCATTTAATTCAGGCATTTCGATATCCATAAATATAATATCAAACCTTGTGTCTTCGACTTTTTTTAATGCTTCCCTACCATTAAAAGCTACGTGAATATCGCATTGAACAAACCTCTTTAATAATTCTCTTAAAGCGTATATATTAAAGGTAATATCATCTACAATAAGAATTTTAATTTTTTAATAAAAATTTGTAGAAGCGTTGATTGCAGTTGGATATTTTTTTTTTTGTCTTTTGATTAAAGGGAATGGAGTTGGATGATCAGGAGCTGGATCACTTTCAGGAATTCCATTATCCGTTTATATAGTGTTAGTGAAATTGCATTCTTTTTGCTTGGCGTCCATGTATATCGAGAAACTGAAATTTGATCCTTAGTTTTCCTTGGAACTCATTTCTATAAATTCACTTGGACCTAATAAGCCGACTAAATTTCTTGATATTACCAATCCCAATCCTACTCCTTATGAGTTTTAATTTCCTAAATTAAAAGTTGAGTAGGCTTTGAATAATTTACTCTGAATAAGTGCAGGTATTCCTATTCCAGTATCTTAGACGGAGAAATAAATTAATTGTTGATTAACATTATCTACTTTATTTATTTTCAATGTAATTTGTCCATTAGATGTAAATTTAATTGCATTAGATATCAAATTAAATAAGATTTATTATAATCTAACTTGATCTGAATACATGATAATCTTTTCATTTAGTCCTATAACGTTGAATTATAAATGTTTTAGATCCATTTACCTTTTGAACATGTTCTTAATTTATTATATGCATGCTGAAAGGTCAAATTAGGTATAATTTAATCTTAATCCTTATTTTTTTAATTATGAATAATCAATTAAATCATTGATCATTGTTAATAAGATTTATTAGTTTGAAATCATGTGATCGATTTAAACGACAATTTCTAAAATATTAATTAATTATAAAAATACCCTAAATATCATTTCTAACCAATAATTGTTTATTTTCCATCATTGATTTAATTAAATGAGTGAGAATATTAAGGCCATTGAGAGGAGTTTTGAGATCATGAGAAACAGCAGCTAATAAATTATCTTTATAATTGTCTAATTCTTGAAGGTGCTTTATCCTTAAGACTCGATCAGTAGTATCATTTAATATTAGCATAATACATTATTTTCCATCCCATAAACATCCTTGAGCTTAGGCATCATAGTAATGAACTTTAGATGATTTAACATCTTACATAATTTGGTTTTATACTACTCTTTGACACTGCATTTTTTTGTTTGTTGGCATTATTTAATAATCAAAAGAATTAATTGTATTAAAGCGCAGTTCAGTTTGAATAGCAGATTGCAAACCTGAAATTTTATCCAATAGTTTGTTCTTTTAGCTATGTAAAATCGAATCTTCTGAATTTAGAATTTCTATTTCAGCTAATCTTTCAGTTAAAATGTTCTCTTCTGCTGTTTCAAAATGAATAGATGCGCTCTTATTGAAGTAACTCACATTCATAAATTTGCTTTCCTATGTATATAGTTTTTCTTTATGAGAATCTACTGAATTTAATTATTCAATTTTATTAACCCCTTCTTAATATAAATTCTCTTCTAAAATTATAATTGAAGTTGGTACAGTTTCATCATAAAGTTTTTTACATGCTTCTAGATTCTTATGAGACTTATGGATTAATAAAGGGTTCAATCTATTTGTTTTCTCATTCTATCTTAATAAATGACATGTAAATGTAAGAGGGAGATATTATGTCCATAATCGGTAATTTAAAAATTTGGTAAAAATTCCCATCAAAATTAGGAAGAAACTTATCATTGTTAAACTCTGCATAATGTAGTTTGATTAAATTAAAAAAAAACTCATTGCAAATAATCCTTATTGCAAGCCAGATATTAAAGAAAGGCTCATAACATCTTCTTTATTTGTTTGAGCAGTGTTCACAAATTTCGTAAAGAAAGCAAACAACAGCACACTGATTACACTGTTGATAAAAATAAGTATATTTGTGGTGATATTCCAATATTTCCCTGAAATTTTCTATAAATATAAGCATATGAACATCCATCCTATAAATATGATTCTATATTTCACAATTTCTGCAGAATTATACACAACGGCTGAGTTTATGATAAATCCGATGTTTATCAATATCTATAATAATGTAGATACCCTGAATTACACAATTACTTTAGCCATTTATCTATTTTAATATGACTATTCTAATTCCTCAGATTGAAATTAAAGAGTTAAATTATTTAAAGATTCCTCATATTTGTAGAGTTCTTGTATTTAAACCTGAAGAAAGAATTCTTGAAAACATTGTTTAAATAATTTCATTGAGATTTAATAAATAATTAATAAAAAAAAAAATCATATTTGATATTTTGCTTTGTGATAATTAACTCAAGGTTTAAGCCATTTTTATAAGAAGATTTTATCTAAATTCAAATTTAAATAGGACATAATACTCTTATACTTTTAAGGTTCCCAAATTGCATCTTTATTTAATTAAGTGATGAAATTCCATACTTATATTAAATATTCAAAATTATTACATTAATATAAATTATACTGCATTTTAATAAATTTACCCTTGATTCGAGAAGAAATTTTTAATATATTAAACTTTATTATCAATATATAAATAACTAATTAAAAAACATTCACATTGTTATGCAACCTTTTAAGAAATACTAAATAAGAATAATAATTTAATTGAGAAGTTTATAAATTTTGGGAAATTTTCTAAATCAGAAAACTCCAAGTTTTAATAAATTTATGGGTTCACCTATTTATTATTATTTTACAAGAAATTATTATTGTTATAAATATTTGTAAATAGTAAATATTTTATTGTTAATATAATAATTAACTAAAGAATACGAATGTTACTTAGATTTTTATTTCAATAAAAATTAGCAAAATAATCCTTATAATCATTAATAATGGAAAGTAAGGTCAATTTTTAGATTTAGCCAAGGATATTACTTTTATAGAAACAAAAAATATTGTTTTAAATAAAAAGTAAAAAAATAAAACATGACATTTTTATAATTGTTTATTTCGCTATAATCTTTATTGTTTACAGAAATAAATGTTATTAAAAAAATTCAAAAAATAATTTTAATTCTAAGTTAAAATAGTCTTTCCAACGCCAAATAAACTAGTAGATTTTCTAGATATAATGTTTACTTTCTTTAATAGCCATCTATTAACAAGGAATAAATTGTTATCTTGAACTATAATCAATTATGGACTATTATTCCTTGAATCATTCTTTATTAATAATTTATTAATTTGAAAAAAATCAATATTAATAAGAAACTTGCTTCTCAACAAAGGACTCACGGAAAATTAACATGAAGTTTAATTCTGACAAGCAACTTTAATTTAAATCCGTTATAAATTTCTAGAACATGATTAATGTGATTATTTTTATAAAACCACTTGGATAATAATTATTAATGTATAAATATATATATAATATAAAAAAAATAACTGATGGATTGGAGAAACAAATTGGATTTAATTTAGAATAAGATTAGAGGATAATTACATGCTCGCAAAATAGATGACTTGGAAGGAGTGTATTAATTAATGGCAGAATTTGATAGAGATAACTCTGGTATTTTATATAGTAAATATAGGGTATTTGGATAAGGATGAGTTTCAAAAGTTCTTATCAAAGATAGGTGTATTTCTAACAACATAAGAATTGAGAGCAGTGTATGACAAATATGACTAAAATAAAGATGGAAATATTGCATATGCAGAGTTTGTGAATTTGATTAGAGAAAATATGAGCGAGAAGAGAATAAATGTTGTAAGAAGCACATTTTCATTTTTGGATTAATCCAGACACGGAAGATTATAATTAGATAGTCTTTATAGACTTTATTAAGCTAAAAACCATCCTAGGGTAAGAACAAGATAGAAGACATCTGAATAAATCACAAAGGAGTTTGTGAATGCAATTTCAAAACGTAGTAAAGATGGTCAAAGTATAAACGAAGAGGAATTCTTAAATTATTATGCTGATTGTAATGCTACTCTTCCAAGTGAGAAGGAGGAGTACTTCACAGATGTATCTATAAATGAATAATATTTGATAGTTATTAACATCTACTTGGGGAGTAACATCTGGTGCTGATTATGTGTCTCCAGAGAGATTAGCTCAATTGGAAATTATATTATTTGAAAAAATCAGATAAAAGACAGTTACTAAAGATGATGAAGGAAAGACAGCCAAAAAAGCCTTTATGTACTTTGATTTGGAAAACAAAGGAACAATAGATATATATTAGTTTGCATAAGCATTATAAAAGTTCGGTTGTGTTTTCAGCGAAAAGGAGATTTAAGCATTATTTAATAAGTACGACGCTGATAAGAGTGGAAGACTATGCTATGATGAAATCTGTGGGTTGATAGCATTAATGGGATCAGGGAACAATGCAAATGTCAATCCAGTGTTTTAGATAGCCAGAGCTCCTCCTTAAGATACATTGAATAGAATTAGAAATGATCTAATTAAGAAAGGATAGCATTCTGTCATACGAATGGCAACTATCTTTATTAATTCTGATAAAAACAAGAATGGAACATTGAATAGATAAGAATTTCAATGGGCTATGAAAGAATCTGGACTGTTATTAACCAAAACAGAGTATGATAATTTGTTCAGATATTTCGATAAAAATTGTGATGATGAGGTTTCCTTTGTTGAATTCATAGCTTTTGTAAGAAGTAATTATACATTATCATAAAAGAGCCACTTTCTTAATATAGATTGGATTTGACAAATTAATTATGGAACAGAATATCAAACAGCGAACCTTAAATCAGCTCTTAATAATTGAAATGTAAGTATCTATTTAATTCAAGAATATTATGATTCATCAAAGAGTCATGATGTAAACACAAACATTAAGACAGTAGCTGATGCCAATAAAGATTTTCATGATATTTGGAAAGATGTTTAAATTATCACTCAATAGCATTTCATAGAATATGTAACAGATATTAGTGCACTTATTGATAATGACTAAGCTTTTGAGAAGTTTATAAGATTTGCATGGAAATGAATACCATATAATATAATAAACAATAATTTAATATAAATAATGGAAGAGAGTATTTACAATATTCTCCCTAAACAAAGTATTCCAACTAAAACCTCCATTCTATACAAATCTCAATTTCCAGTCATTATTCCTCCTTCTTATAGTTCTTTTGATAACCATTCTAATGTAATCGATGTATTAAAGTCTATTAAATGAGATTAAAAATATTAGTGGGTCCTACTATGTTTAAAAAGGTCGATATGACATGGAAAATGGTATAATTGGCAAAACAAAAACATGTTTTAATATACTTTATCCATAGAATAACTGTCTCCTATCAAACATAAAATAATGGGCACAAATAAATTAGCAGATTGGATTCATAAAGGATCATTATTATTAGAAAATAATCATTCCAATAGATAAAAAGTAAAACCTTAAGTTCCTAAATCGGCAGAACGACCACTAATTTATGAACAAAAAAAAAAGAACTATATAGAAACTAATAAAATTTATACAATTCTTTCAAGTTCTTAATCAATTAATTTATAGCACCGAGACAACCATAAAAATAAACAGATTGGTTAAAAAAAGAAACCTATGGAAAAGTCCCTCAGTATTTGAGCAATATCAAATAGAGAATCTACTAATCATTTCTGCAATAACAAGAAGATTATGCTAATTAGAATAACCATTTGTAACTTGAATCATTATTAAAGTAAATTGTTATCAGAATCAGAATTGCATGAAATTAGAAAAGGACTTAAATAGAGATATGATTTGATAAATTTTGAATACTAGAAATACTCTCATCACAAGAAATTTGATAATGTCAGTTTAAGAAGAAAATAAGAATAATATGAGAGGGAACTAGATCAATTAGAAAAAGATATGGAAAAAGTAAATAAGTCTTAGGTTTATGTCATAAAATGATTAAAATAAAATTTATTTATGTTAAATTTTAGATGATATTTTTTTTTCAAAAATAATTGTAAATTCCAACAATTAATCAAGCCTTTAAGAGATATTATTAAGCTAGAAAATGAAATTTAAATGTTAGGGGGTACATAAAATTAACTACATAAAAGATTCAGTTATAATTTACTTTAAAATCAAATAAATTTAATACTAACAAAATCACTATAAACATTTCTAAACTTTAGTCAAAGACTCTATTTATGTCGATGAATAGATAAATAAAGAAACTATATTCCTTACAACTCTAGTCTTTATGGTAACTTGATAAATTTCACATATAATATAAGGATTCAATTTTAGTTCCTTTATTTATAAAATTCTTTCAATTAGTAAAAAAGAATAAATATAATCAAAAATAGGTCCTCGATAACAATGTATTCAGAAAAATACTAGATAAATGAGGCATACTGGATATGAAATAATTAATTCCAAAAAGACTTTTTCGGCTAAATCTAATTTGATAAAATAATAAAGAGTCTTATTCCATTATAAAATATTTAGATTATGAGTGTAATTATTAAATTATGGTAAATAATATTCTACAGTTTTAATAAATTTAATTCATTATTGGTAAGATTTTCTTATGAATGATAAGCAAAGGTTAGGCAATTAATAGAGAAATACAAAATGATAATAATATTAAACATATTGGAAGTATAATTCACAATAAATGATAAAATAATGAAATAGAAAAATAATAATATGAAAATTTAATGGTTGAAATATAACTATAAAAGTAAGGTATATATAATTTTCAAATTTTCATGAATTTTTGTATAATCTTTGTTAGGTACAGACTAACTTGATACTTTAATAACTGCTTTGTATAATAATAATTTATAGAGAAATAAAAGAACCACATATAGAACATGAATAAGAATGTGTAAATGATAAAGTAAATGAACCAATATGTAAAATATGATATAAATTTTTAAACTAAAGGATATAGCTATGTAGATCTATAGTAATCAAGAAAGTTGAACTTTGATATTATATAATATATCATATATATAAATAATTAACTGATTATGGGAAGTTGCTAGGTGAATTGCTGTGCCAATAAAGCTGGTGAAATAGTATCCAAGGACACGAAAAAGAATGAAGTTGATTTAGACGATCCTGACCAAAATGACTATGATGACAAAGAAAATAGTGTGTCATCAGTTCATTAATAATAACAATAGGCTTAGGAAACACCAAGACAAAATAATAAAGAAAGAGAAAAGTTTTAAGTTGATAATGAAAGCATGTCTATGAGAAAAAATTTGGAACCCTAATCTGTCAAAGAGGTAAGTATAACTTATCTAAATTGCACTGAAAGACAAAAGTTTGATCCAATCTAATTAGATAAAGGAGCCATTTATGAAGGAGAATGGTTATTAGGAAAGAGGGATGGAAATGGCAAACAATAGTGGCCAGATGGTTCATGTTATGAAGGATAATGGAAGGACGATAAAAGTTGTGGTTGGGGTAAATTGATTCATGCAGATGGAGATGTATACGAAGGAGAATGGTAAAACGATAAAGCAAATGGCAAAGGAGTATATGTTCATATTAATGGGGCTAGATATGAGGGAGATGTATAAAATAAATAAATTAAATAGTGGGTTGACGATAGATAAGATGGTATAGGAATTGAAGTTTGGCCTGATGGGGCTAAGTATGAGGGAGAATATCGAACAGGTAAGAAAAATGGTAAAGGGATTCTACTATTTGCTGATGGTTCAAGATATGAAGGCACTTTTGTTGATAATGAAATCGATGGATAAGGGACGTATTAATGGCCGGATTAAAGAATTTACACAGGATAATGGAGAAGAAATAAAATGCATGGTCATGGATAAGTAACTTGGCCAGATGGCAGAAAATATATTGGAGTATCCTTTTCTACTTATCGTTTAGGAATACTTTGAAGATAAGAAACATGGTAGAGGTTCGTTTGAATGGGGAGATGGAAGAAAGTATGAAGGAATTTGGGTTAATGGTATTTTTAGTTTGATTTTTTTAAGGCAAGTAATAAGGAATTGGTGTTTATTATATGTCTAATGGGGAAAAGAAATATGGAGAGTGGAAGGATGGAATAAAAAAAAGATGGTTAGAGGCAGAAGAAATAGAATAATATCTTTAATAAAATTCTTAGAATCAAAAATAACAATGAACGACTCATATAGTTAAACTTATTAGAATTTACTCATTATATTCCTTCATCTTCTTCTGTTGAGTCCTCCACATTTTATTAGATTTGAGGCTCTTGCTCCTCTTCCACTTCCTCTTCCTCTCCATCTTGTTCATCTTCATCAAAATTAAAGAAGTTCTCATCCAATCCCAATTACGGTAGTTTCTCTTTAAACAATTATTTGATTTCTAACAACTGCTTCTTTATTTTAGCGTTTTCATTCAATATCAATTCTTTCTCTTTCTACTATTATTATATTAATTCTTTAAATTTCCCTATTAAAATCTCTTTCTTATTTATTTCTGCAGATAAATCTTTTTCTTATTTTATCAAATTCTGTAATAATTATTCTTTGTCATTCAATTATTATTTCTATTGATCAACTTTTTAAATTAATTAGCTATCAATAATATATCTTATTTATACCTCTTTTATCCTTCCAATTAATCTTTTAATTATTTCATCATTTCATTAATCTAATCCTCCTATTTAGATTATTATTTTATCTCTGTGATAGTACTCTCACTTTTTTAGACTTTCTCTTCGAATATGGCAATCTTTTCACCATATTCTTTTTCTAAAATTTCAAATTACTTTTTCCATTTGTTCTCTTGTAAATTCAAAACCTATTCAAATTATTTAATCTCTAATTCAATTTTTGATAATTCTTGCTGCTATTCTTAGTGTTCCTACTAATGAATTACTACTTAATTTTATTAAGTTTAATATATTATCTAGGAATCCCCTGTCAATATCTATGAATATTAATTAAATTGTCTCATTTCTTAATATAAATCATATATACATGTTAATGAACAGATTTCTGTCTTGTGATTCTGATTCTAATTGTGAACTTCTTCATCACAGTTATAACAAAATTTAGCTTAGCAATTCTAACAGTAAACTGTTCCTGGTCTTTTTGAACATTAATCACAGTATTTGAATAATTTTTTCATTAATAAAATTTATATATGAAAATCAAAGAATGGCTTTTAGATAATGATAAAAGAAAGAAAGTAATTACTTTTATTTACAGACTTGCGCTAAAGAAATAACCATTTCATTCTCATGAACTTAGACAATAAATTGATAAATGCAAATTTTCAGATGACATCCATCATATTTGGAATCAATTCGATACTTTAAGAGCATATTATAAATTATTACTAAATTAGTCCTAATTTGCAAATTAAGTCAAATTAGTCAGGATTATACATGAAAATACAATGTTTCATAATAAACCAGAACTAGTTGCAATAGAAAGATTAAAAAAAGAAAAGTAGTTTAAATTGCTAAATTAAAATGATTAATCATTTCTTATTGACTTACTAAATAATGTCATTAAAAATAACAATGATCAAAATAGGTAGAGATATCCAACTCTGCTCCATTATCTCAATGATAAAAATAGCGAAAGTATTATCAAGATTTTAACTATTTAAAGAATACGATCAAAAATATACACCACCATTACCTAAATGTGTTGAATGCTAAGATTTCAAATATTTGAAAGCCTACTAGTATTTATAAGATAAAGATCAATAAAAGTAATCAATAAAGAAAATTTGAATAATTTATTATGTATTATAGAATTCATTGTGCTTATTAAATTTTCCTCTCCTAAATCCTTGGGTCTACTCTCTTCCTAAAAAATAGAATATAGGGGTCTGGATAGTGCACATCATAATTTAACCAACCTTTGAATAATTTGATTCCTAATTCTCTCCATTCTGGTTCTCTTAGCAAAAACCCTTTAAAAAATAGATATAGTTATACCTCTCTTATCTATTGGGATCTTTTCAGATATTTTTTGATCAAGATAAACGATCATGTAATTATAATAATCATCTCTATATTGATCAGAATAGCTAATCAAGATTTCTTTGTTGTTGAAGCTCATTTAGAATTAGAATTATTAAATCTGACATAACATATACTTATTTCTTAATAGGAAAAATATTAACATCCATCAAGAAAAAATTAAAAACTAAAATGATATAAAGAGTAAATAAATTATGAATATCTAAATTTTCAAGGATTGGTTTAATTGATTTCATCTTTTTATTAATTAAAAGATCCCATTCCATACACTTATTCAGTAATTAATTATTCTTGTGATGATTTATCAAATCTTAAATTAGTTTACATTACTAATGTACAATTTCTTTATCTTAAAGAAAGGGTTAAAGCATGATCTCTGACTAAACTAATATTTTTGCCAAACTACATAAAGGGATTTTTTGAGAATGTTGGCATTTATTATTTCTTAAGACTAATATTTTATAAATTTCATACATTGAAATATTGTTTAATTTGTAGAAATCTACTTCCTACTCAATGGAATCCTAGGATACGAAAAACTTGTGTTTCAAAAGGTTATCAGCCGACCATCTGAAATCTGGGTTTTTTGAAAGCATCTTCATTAAAATATCTTTTTCAAGATCATCCAATTAATCAGATGAAAATTTGCTTAGATTTATTTCACATTTTCTATTCAATTCTAATTACTCTTTCCTATCCTTTTTTTCAAACAAGGGTTCTCCTATTAATCTTAAATTATTTAAATTCATTTACAAAACATATAAAATAACTCCTGCACTAAATATATCACAAGATACAGTGTATCTGGCCAAATCGGAATCTTGTTCTAGAATTTCAGGAGCAACAAAACCTGGTGTTCCACATTTTGGATAAGTATAAGGATGAGAATCTACTGATTATGCAAGTCCAAAATCTGCAATTACTAAAGATTCTAAATCTTTATTCATAAATAATATGTTTTCCGGTTTTAAATCTCTATGCATTATGTTATGATGATGAATAAACATCAACCCTTCAAGTAGTTATTTCATTATTAGTTTGATGTCTGACCTACTGAAAAGAGTTTAGCGTTTTTTCATCAAAGATAATAATGAACCACCTTTAGCCATTTCCATTACTAAATAATAGTTTTAATTTCCTATATAGAGTTCATGTAACAATAAAATGTTATCATGCTTCTACTCAGAAAGAATTCTCATCGTTTCTATTTCTTATTGCAATTATTTCTAACCATTCTTTTTTTCATTAATACGTTGTTAATCAATACATTTAGCAGCGTATTGTTTCTTCGTAAATAGATTAGTTAATTCGAGAACTGTTGCGTATGACCCTCTTCCTAAAACAGATTCAGCTGAATATTCATCTTAAATCTACACTTGGAAAACATATAATGCAAACTTCTATTTGAGTTCCCTTAACTACTCATTTGTTCCATGGTATTCATATTGTTAGCCACTTACTTAAAATATAATTGAATTTAATTTGGTTTTTGAATATGTCCATTTAATTCTTAATTCAGAATTGATTCGAAATTGACGTTCTGGTATCTAAACATAAGGTGACTTAAATATCTCGAAATATAAGGATACCTTTCCAATACAAATTAAATTCTTAAACAAATACAGGTATCTCAGACCCCTCCCAATAAATTTCTTCTTAGTCAACAGACACCTATATTTACACAAATCATAATCGACGGTTTTTAACTTTCTTTCTGCATCCTCATGAACAGTTTGAGATTTTTGTCTCATTATATAAATATATAAATTTTATTCATATCAAGTTTTTAATTTTTACATGTTTTACTTTGAAATTCGATCTTTTATTTTCTTTCTTTTGATGCTGTCTCAGGAGTTGTTAAGTTAGGTACTTTTTACTTGTAAATAGATATAAACAATAATTGTAGGTTTTTCGGTGATCATTTCAAAATAAATTCATAAATATCTACTAGTAAACAATATTTTATTACAGTGATTTTAATTACTGGTTATTCACCATTTACTAATTTAAAATAACAAATTATATTATGTTACTCAGGCTGAACCATAAATCCTTCTATACCAAATTAAAGGACTTTTCATTAATTTAAAATCACTAATCCAGCTATCAATTCGAAAATATTATTAAAAGAAGTCTTAAATGCCTGCTCTTTCTTTATTTTCCTGTTTCAATGATAAATATTAAAAATCATCCTTTTATCTCTAAAATACTATATTAGAGAATTATGGTATATCATCAAATATCTAATATAAATGATTTTATTTGGCTTAAAACTATCAATCAGAGAAATTAACTTTATCGAATTTTTGAGAGGAATAATAAATAGGATCTTCAAAATTCTATGCTTCATCTATGTATACATGCGCTGCTGGGAAAATTCTGGAATTCGAATTCCTTTATATTTATAGTTAAGTAGTTCAAATTAATCATCTTGATGATTCTTGGAGTACAGAAATATTTGAGCAATTAGTTTGAAATTTGTAAACGTTATTATTATGATTGTTACTATATTTGTGAAGGTTGATATCCAATTTAAATGTCTTAAGGTTAAAGTATAGATTTTAATCAGACAGTTAATATTTACAACTGCTAATCTCTAGAATTAAAGGTCTTTTCTGATGCAATTAAAGAGTTGCAAATTGTTATCCTGGCGAACTGTTTGATTAGACAAACTCGGAAAAACTGAGTTGCTTACTTAAATTGACTTGGTTTTTATAATTGGTAACATTTTCTGTCCTGTTTGCATATGGATTTTTTAATAACATTTTATTTATAAAAGTAATAAGAGATCTAGATTATATTACAATATGATTTAAACTAGACTCATTTCAGTGAAATAACTAGCTTTTGATTTTTGAATTCATAATCGGAGAATACAGCTATTATTTTTAAGGTTTCGGGGATATTCAACATACTGATTTCCAAACTATCAGAGGAAATAATTTTAATTTCTAGTTGAGTATCTATGTTTACCTGTAACTTTGACAACTAATCGAATCATTTCTGATATCTCCATTGGTTCAGAAACGCCACTCAAAATAATCGTCTTGGAAAGAGGAGCAATTACCTTTGGCCCGTTCGGATTGTAATAAATCATGTATTCATCTTGAATGGTTGTTGGTTGTAATTAATATAAGGGGATGTATGTTATACGCCACTATTTTAGATAAAAAATGGATACTTATTGATCAAAAAATGTTATATTGTTTAGGTATTCTTTTGCAATTTAAGCAAACTCTACTGTTTAATATCTTATAAACACTCGTTTAAATTGCTTTTCGTATAATATTTCTTCTATGTTACCAAATTTATTAAAAATATTATACAACATCTTGGCGGTTACTCTTTCATCAATAGATTATATTTTAATAATTTTGGATGGTTTTTGAGCGATCATATTTTCGACATCCTCAGAAATCACAGGAGTTGTATTAGGTTTTTATTTTAAGAAGTCTTATGCCTCATCCTCAGAATCTGAATTAAGTAAATTATTTATCTCTTCATTTCTTTATGGACTCATATTCCTTTAAGGAGTTTATGTAAAAGTTCGAGTAAATTGATCTAATTGTTATCTCAAAATATTTGGATCATCTGTGTTTGAATGTTTCACTACATCTGAATTAGTAATGCTTGTTTAAGTATAGTCAGTTCCTCGAGATTTGTCTACTACTTCCAAATCTAAATTTTTTAGGCGAGAAAAATGTATTGTTAATCTAAATTTATAAGTAATTGATACTTTCCTTCCCCCTCAGCCAAATATTTACCGATTTTATCTTTCCTTGCCTCGATTGCATGTTTGATATCATAGTATTCGACAAAAGCCTTGTTTGCTTTACCCCTTTCGAAAATGAGAATCTTTTTGATATCCCCATATTTTCCAAATTGTTCAAATAACAAGTCATTACACAATGGAAATGTTGGGGATAATTGTGTTATTACAAGAAGCAAAATTTTGCTGGGTGGATCTCTTGAATTATTATTCATTTATAAATAATATATATGAATTCTTCTCAAATTTATTTTGATTATATTATCCAAAGTTTTCAATAAGAATCATCTCACAATTAATTCAAAATAATTATTAATATTAATCATTCCAATTTCAAAATATGATTCTTGAAATAACTCAATTTACTATAAGTGTAAATGGGAGCATAACTGATTGCAGTTTATGGGTAACTCGTCTTTGAATATCCTGGATCATTGACGTTAAAAGTATCTCCTGAATATGATGTCATTAACACATAATGAGACCCTTCATTTACACCAAGAATCACATGATCCCCTCTATCAAATTTTACTTAAATAATTTAATCTATATACATTTTGCTTAAGATGCAGAAAATTTTCCTTAATATATAAATCCAAAGTCCTAAATAGAAGACCAAATAAAAAGATCTCCTGAAGCATAGCCGTTGTTTCTCTTTAACCATGAATTCATTGTTCTTGGAGTTGTGACTCCATCTGTTGTTATTCCTTATGTGTTAAATATCATGGCTATTGATGAGATCAAACTTCCATTTGAACAAATTGAACTCGATCCTGTTCCTAATTTATCAGATCCCCAATTTGAATCACACTGTTTGTATGAAGTGTACAATCTTCCATTTACAAACAGCAAAATCAAAGCAATACTTATGATTTATTACATTATTATTTATAAATGATTTATTCAATTCAGAATCAAATTCATTGTGCTTTCAAGTTAGATATTGTTAATAAGAGTGTTGAAAATATAGAATGGTAGAAAAATATGGTGAAATATTCATTTTTAATTTCTAAATCAAACATCTTCCTGCTCTAAATTTAATTATGATCTCTCTACGTTAACTTTTTATCTCCCAACATCTCTTTAAAACTATATTGCAAATGATTTTTAATCAATTTTAGTATTTGGAAACGAGAATTCGTTCCTTTTGATTTGACTGTTATTTAGAATATTCAAATTTACAAGATTATCAACACTACAGATTCCTGCAGAAAATTATTACTGAGTTTCTTGTTTGCTCTTATCAATACTATTTTTAGTAGTGTTTTTTGAAGACAACTCTAATTGTTTGAATCTAAATGATAGATGAAATATACTTTTTAAATTATATAATCAAGCGAGCTTAAGGTATTAAATATTCTCTCAATTTCCCATATCTTTTTTTAATTCTTTCATATTTATTTTTGTGTGTCTCAAGGAAAATTTTCAAGAATGGATGATACTCCGCTAGATTAGGAAAATATTTTTATATTGTTTCTTTTAATTTGTCTATGTTTTCTTAAAGCTTATTGAAATATGCAAATAGTATCTGCATTAACATTCGAAAAATATAAAATCCATTAAGTAAGCCAATTATTATATAGAAAGGCCATTAAATCTCAATCAAATCTTATTATTGAGCTGTGTAAATTGAACTAGCCAAAATAATTGATACAGCACAAATTACGGTTGATTATGTGTCAATTATATTTAATTGGCCAGTCATATAAGGTTGCTGTTTAGATGCTATAAAAGTATAAGCAAATAAAACGAGAAAGACTAAAGATGCTTTTATTGAAACATGATCATCATAATAAGCCAAAACAATAATAATGATTTGTTTTTGGACAATTTTTAATGTTTCCCAGAAATATGCATGAATCCTATATTCATTATATAAGTATCCCCATGTTTTTCTAACAGAGTAGTAATCGAGATGGTCTCTATTTTTATAGACTCCATACCAAAAAGAGCAGGGAAGTAGGAATCCAAAAGTGAATAATAAGGGTATGCTAAATGCCATCGACCATTTAAAATGTGAAATTGTATCATATCGATATGATACATTTCCTTAAATCCAATATTCATCTGATATTATTCTGTAAGATAATATTGATATGATTCCTCCTATTAAATTTGGCTAAAAAAATATGAACAAATATATCAAGGATGTAGAAATATAAGAAATGTTGAATGTTATTTTCTTAGTAATTATTAAGATTCCATATAAACTAAAAATAATTGCTATATAAGTGGAAGTCATAATTAGGCTCCAAATAATTCTAAAGTATATTATCAATATATCTGTTATGGTGACTAAAAAGCAATCTAATGAATAAGCGAGCGATTCAATAGGGTTGCCAACTGTATTGACAACCGAAGCTAACCCTGTTGGAATTTGCAATTAAAAAGTAGAAATGGTTGAAATAATTTGAAGATAATTTGTGAAAACTTTGATAAGAATAGCTGTTTGAGCTTCTTTTATTGCTAATCTAACTCCAAAAGACTTCAGGATTAATCCTTAAATAAATTCCTCAAGCATTTATATAGTGCTATTCACTGAAATAAATGTTGAAATGAACGTCCAAAGACTCACAAAAATTATTGTAATAATATTGTATGCTATTTAATCACAACTTCCGCATGAATAAGTAGAACTTACAGAATAAGATCCACTTCCTCTAGAATTATATAAATCACATTATTCACATAAAGCTCCTATGTGTCCTTAGATGCATGATTTATCCCCTGGTTTCCAACCACCTTAGCAATTCTTATCCAAATGATAACAATTTTCAATAGTTTGACTATAATAATATGGTCTCCAATAATGTTCCCTTAGTTCTATCATACTTGATTCCAATGATTTAATTTTAGAATTATCTTTATAGCTGCAGTTTTAAGCAGCCAAAGATACTTAGTATTAATTCTAAAAGGTATCACAGAGAACACATCCACCAGATGTTTGATTTAAGAATTCCCCTAATTAGCAGTGAAATGTTCGAATATCAACAAACAATTTATAATCTTTCACATAATTATAAATTTCATAAGGTGGAATTTCTTTGTATTAAGGGACTAACACACTATTACATTAAATTGATAATCGAAGAACAATATCCTAATCATAGGTAGGATTAAAGTAAATGATTAGATTATCTAAATTATAATCTCCCGTTGTATCATTAAATATCACTTCATATTATGATAGATTATATTAGACATTTTATTACTCCTATTAAGATCTTAAATTAAAAGCTATCGGTTATAAAATGCAATTCGAACCTGACAAACCCTTTATTTATTCCTAAAACTTATCCAAAGCAATAATCCTGAGGGTAAGATTATAAGGGATAAATTCTGAATTCACTGGATCAAAATACCTGTAGTTGGTTATGGCTGTTCCTGAAGGTAACATTAACTGATACTGTTTAGATGAGGATCCTAAAATCTTATATGGATCGATAAGAATCTGTTCAACGATCTATTTATCAGTTTTGATAATTTCTTTCTTTTGAAGAATTAATCTTTTCTAAATTGCTAATGTTAATGATCTTGGTTTTTCCAAAGCACTAGAGCCAAATAATGTTGAGTTATTGAAATCCAATAATAAATCTAACTACTTAGTCTATTGAAGTGATTAAGAACTTAAATAAATGCCTCCTGCAATCTCAGCTTTATTTTCAATAATTTTTGTATCTAAAATATATAGTTCTTCTTTCTCAGATGAATAATAAATTGCACCTCCAAGATCTGCAAGATTATTTTAAAAAATGCAATCTTTAATAATAGTACTAATACTCATTATTAAAATTGAACCACCGTAAGTTGCAGAGTTATTTAGAAATTGACTCTATTTTATCATCAGCTAATATTTCATGCTATTTAACAGATTTTCGTAATTATGTTATTGCAAAATCCTATAATTTGGTTAAGGATCTTAAATTATCAAATCATTTTTATTTTTAGCAATTGAAAGACAGCCAGTCCTCCCGCAATGACTGTTTTTTATCAATATTTTCGAAATCTTAATATTTTCGAAATCTTATTGTTCAATTTCTACTATTCTAATCAAACCAAAATAGCAGTTTATGCATTCTACATTTGTAATATCCATTTTTTGTATTGTTACTTTGTTTCTAACATTAATTTATTCAATTTCAATCAAGCTGAATTTAAGGGATGGATTTTTGAAAATTTAAGCCTAATTACAAATTAATTGATTTAAATTGTATTAATCATTAATATTTTCATTAAGTTAAGCAATATATTAAGTCAATTTGAGGGGGCAATCTAATTAAATTGGAAATGCAGTTTTTATTATTAAGCATTCCCTCTTTTCAGTCTTCAAAAATTGATACAATTAATTTATTTACAGATCAAATATTTTCAATTCTCCAGCATATTCTAAATATTTAATTATATTATTACATTATCTAAAGTTGAATTGGATTAGAGGTGAAAATCCTACTGTGCAATTAGTAATCTTGATGTTCGACATCAAAATGTTCTAAGCTTGTACAATTTTAAGTAAAAATTATGTATAAATGGATATAAACTGACAATTCTTGATACTAAAATTTCCAAATTCAACATAAATTAAAGGATTTTATTGAATTATGTTTACAGCATCTTCATCATTTATTCCATCTAAATATGAATAATAATTTTCGAGTCCTACTTTTGTTGAATAGAACTCTATATCCTTAAACACTATATAAGATTAAACAGTATCCTTTTTCGTTAAAACATATGAAAAAAATGAATTTTAAATCGAAAAGCAATCTTTAACAATTAACTTTTCCAACTCAATTATATTTAATGTTTCGGATGGATTTATGTAAATTGCACCACCATCATATCTGCTAAAAGATTTATCAAATGTAACATTCTTAATTTATAGAGTTAATGCAGATGAAACGGCATCAATATAAAGGCAACCTCCTTTTGAAAAATATAAGGAGGATAAAGTGGTTTTTGTATTTGAAAATTCTGAATTTGTAATATTAATAATGCTAGTTCCAGATGTAATTATATAGAAACCTCCTCCATAAATTGAAAAAGAGGCATTAACCTTTATGTTTTGTATCTCTATTGAATTTGAAATTATCATGCCATTTCCACTGTTTGATTTTATTGGAAAAATTAATTATAGGTCTATTGTAGATTTAACTTGAATGATTGATATTATCATATATCTACTCATTATTGAGTAATTCATTATATTGTTGTTTTTAAAAGTGGAATCCTTAATATATACCTTTTTTGAAACAATGTATATAATTGAATCAGTTGAGTTTGTTACTAAATTTTAATAAAATTAACAATCTTATATAAACACATTTCCATATTTTATAAATAGCAATATTGTAGAGGAAGAAATTGAAGATAAAGTTTAATAATATGTGTTTAGGTGATTATTTGAAAATTTTGTATTGATAAAGGTAACAAGTACCTTTTATTATGATTCAAGGGAGATTAAAGCAGAATTTTTATTAGTGGTTGAGATTATTAATAAATTAGAACTAAATTAGGAATTTTGCACAACAATTGTTTCTTCCACCATTTTTTGCATTATATCATATCCTTTTAAAATAATCAATGGGGTATTGAAACTTAAACAGGTTGAAACATTTAAATTATCAATAAAAAGCCTTTGATATTAACCCACATATAAAAAGAAATACAATTCCATTATAGCAAATTGTGATACACATTCGATAGATGAATGTAAGGCTTTTGAAAAATATCTTTGATCCTAAAAGAATTACCAATTTCTTATTTCTAGAGTCTTTGAATTAAAGATGGTCATTTCAGGATGCCCATAACCTCTCTGTATTTATACATCGTATAAATAACAATATTGGCATTCAATATATATCATTACCTAATCAAAGGAGACTTAAGTATTTTAAAAATTAGGGTTTGATATGCAATTCTTTATGGTTAAATTGGTTAAATTAAGCAATAACTAATCTATTTCATCATACTTCACAATTTTGATAATTTATTACTTGTTATTATAATTAATGTTTAAAACTTATAAATTCTTTATTACAATTTTCGAGGACTAATTTAAAGCGATTTAAGATTTAGTATAATTAACTTTATTATGTATTAAACTGCTTAATTCTATAAGTGTTTAATTTATTATACAACCTTCTAAGTTTATCACATTGCTTGAAAATAATGATGAGTTGTCTTTAAGTTTAGAATTCTATAAAATCAACTAAGAAACAAATACTGATTCTACAATGGGGAGGATGAAAATATTTGAATTCAAAAAATCAACATTATGTAAAAATATTTACTGAATATTTAAAGTACCTATCGTATAATCTAATAAGCCACTACATATGAAAAAGTTAGCTCGTTCGAATATAGAGTCAATAATACTAATATTTCTTAATTCAGACTGATATTGAAGGTGATTTGTATTAGCTAAAAATTTGAAAAACGTTGTATCTATAAATATGGAATTTATAATTGCCATATTTGATATTTGAATCTAATTTTTAGAAAGATTGGTTTAAGAAATAAAAGTAAATATATCAGATTATTGTATTTTTATATTGCTAATTACTAAGTTTTTGATGAAAATGGAATAAGGAATATTTGATTCAACTTTAAAACCTTATCCACTTATTGTGGGACCTCTACTTTCAAATTTACAATCTTTCAGATTCAAATTCATTTTGCTTTTAAAATTGCTTAAAGAGAGAATTGAGCTACCAGTAATAGAATCTTCGTTGTTTGTAAATTAAAAATTGATATTTTCAAAACTTATTGTCGTAAAATTATTAAAAAATATTGTTGAGGGGATTAAGAGATCGATTGGATCATCTGATGTCTATTGTTTTCCCTTAAATTTAATATCAATTTATTATACTGAAAAAACCTGTTATGCTAATGTGGAGAAAATCTTTAAGTTATTAAGAAATTCACATGGCCTGTCTTCAAATTAAAATAAAGTATATTCAAATGAAATATGCCTTGCCGAAATATCATTTAGATAATCAAAAAGTTAAGTAGTCTCTAATTTTTCTAAATAACCAATGTCAAAAAAGGTATAAAGAATTACATTCTTGCTTTCAAAGTACTCATCGTTTGTTTAAAAATATTCATCATAATAAGTTGTATCATCACAATGAATAATTTGCCTAAAAATAATTTTGTTATAACATTGTTCATATTTGTTACAAACAACTATTGTTTATGACAATGAATCTTAATAATATTTTTCTGGAGTATTGCCAACTTTTGCTTTTTCATAGCATTTTCGAGTTTAAAATTTATTCGAATCAGTTAAAATAAAGTAAGGATTAACTTATTAAATTTCTGATTCGCTTCTCTCCACACAAGCAATACAATTAGGTGGACATTGTAGGCAACCTCCGTTTTCATTTTAACTTTTCATGAAACCAGCAATCGTTTCTAAACATTAAATACATGTTGCTTTTCCATTTATGATCTCACATTTATTACAAGTTTAATCACAATTTTTTATGCATAATTAGTTATATAATATATATCCATAATGACATGATGTACAGATTAATTTCATATCTGATTCAGAATTCAAGGATGCATAATTTTCAAATGGATGATCATTATTAAGATTAATGAAATATTTATAAAACGCCTTAATACTCCATTTCCAATAATCTCTATATTTAACATTTTATTATATACAAGTCTTGCAACTTTAGCCACATTAAATACATTAACCTTTAAGAATTGCTGAATAATAGCCATCCTAACATACTATACAAAAGGATTCATTATCTATGTAATTGTGAATACAGGAAATACAGTTTGGAATCATTATGCAATTTGATACTTAAACAGCATACTGATTGGTTTTGCTAATTATACAAGTTTTCTTTTAATTTTCAATTTCGATAATGGCGAATTCGCAATCATCATCTATTTCCTTCAACTCGCACTTTTAGCTATTGAAATTATAATGATAATTCTCTTTGCATAGGGCACAACCTATATGTAATTATCGAAAGTTGAAATTTATCACTTTAAAATTGATATCTAAGCTTGTTTGTAATAGACGACCATTGAGAATGTAATCAAAACAATATATACAATTTTCTATATTGCATTATCTGCAATTCTATCCATCCATAGATAAATAATATTTTAAAGGTGAATCTTTACAGAAATTACAAAGTCTAGATGCATCGCACTCCTGACAATAATCCCCACAAAAAATGCATTAATTCCTAATTATTTATTGATTCTCTAAACAACCAATGCATTAATATGATCCATTGTTATTACTCTTGCAAGTTAAGCAATCGCCACATTTCAAACATATCTTTTCTTCACTTAAATAATAATTAGAAAAGCAATTTTTGCATTCAAATGAATTTAAGCACTCCATACAGCCATTTAAACAAGGTTTACATTCTGAATTTTCTAAATAGAAACCATTTCTACATCTTTCTTTACTAATACAACCTTGACACAATTTAAGATCGTAAGTTCCATTTACGTTCGTTAGCATATAAAAATATAGATAATCATTTTAGTCACTTTTTTAAACTTAATATAAATAGTCTTCTTGTAATTCATAAGTTTCGGCTTTCATTTTACAAGTTAAGGTTTATCCAAATTATTTTGGTGATACCAAACAATCTAAACAAATTATTTATTTACCAGCGTACACTTCATAAAAATAAGGACTATGATAGTTATAAACTAAATACCATTATACACACATGCCTTAATATTCAAAATAGCCAAAATTGCATTCAATTTCATTCTAATTGCAGATGCTATAACCTGACTGCTAACAAAATAATTCTACTTCTTATATGTATATCTATGGGAATGCTTAGGTTACTGATTAGCAATCTTAGACACCTTCTATATCTATATATCTTTATTAACAAGCACAAGTTTTCTCGTTTTTTGTAAGGTGTCTAAAACTTTAATCAGAACAAGAAAGACAGTTATATTTAGTAGGTCCCTCACATTCTAAACAAGAATAATGACATGGAGGTTTATATTCATTAATTTTTGGACTACATAATAGTAAAAATTAAACATCACTAACATATCCTCTTAAATAATTTTAAGCATAGTAATCTCCTCCTAAGAAAATCTAAAAATTAGTTCCTGAAAAATGACGTATAGTTTTACTCCAAGTAAAAGAGCGAACTTAATTAATAGAAGGAAAAAAAATAGAAAAGTAAGGTTATTCCTTATTGTTTTTGCTTCCAAATTCATAAAAAAAATAATGCCATTTAATTAATAACTCTGTATATTCGTCTCCAAATTAACGAATTCTATCATCTTCATTTGTCTAGTGTCTCTCTTTTACAGGAAACTCATATGAATAAGTAGAAATTTCAAATCCATTCTCAGAAGGGATACTACTCTAATAATATTTCAAGAGTAAATCTCTATCTCCTATTGTTAAATCATCACCATAATCTTAATTTAATGTTATTCGAAAAATGGTGGTCTCCTATAGAACCTAACTCGATTCAGCTATCATAACCCATCCTTAAAATACATATCTCGGTGTATAAGAAAATTCTTATGTAAAAGTCTTTATATAATGAGTTCCATTCATTTTCTAGTTTTTTCAACTTACTAGATATTACCTCTCATAACAAGATAGATAGCCAAAAAAATCTTCAGAACAGGTGTCTATATCTAAGAACACATTATCCTACTCAGCTGAGAAAATACTGGTGAGGCGTCCCATGAATTGACTTAATAAGATAAAACTACCCTCCTGATTCGTGTATGAGTAAGTATTTCCAACATTGTGCTTTATTGTTTATACATATTGTGGTAAATCATTTACAATCTGAATAGATATATCCTCTTTAGCGTTGTAAAATCCTATAAGGGATTATCTTAAAATATTGTCAAAATAACAATAAAACATTATCCATTATCCTTCATATAAAATATTATCAAATTCAAATGACAAAGTGTTAGTTAAAGTTTTGAAAGAGTAAAATACTTTGTGGGTAATTATTTATTTATTTGGATCTATATCAGCAGAAACAACCAACCAATTCACCTTATCATTGGCACGTTCAATGGAATAGATAAATTGTTGTCCTTGTATAATAATTTAATCTTTTAATATACTGAAATTTTAAGTAGCTCTGTTTGCTAAAAAATTTTAAATATATCTTTACATAGCTCACTTATTTATGTCATTGGCTAATAATTCATCCAAACTCCAAATCCTTTATTTGCCTGACCTTGAATAAATTCTTAAGATAATTCTTAATCAATAGAAAATTAATTATTGTTTTTACTTAAAAGTGGTATCAAGGATGAAAATAAACATAAATTTTCTACAGGTCTAGAATATTTGATTTAATTTACTTAGGTAAGAAGATGAAAAGCATTAAGTCAAAAAAGGTTATAAGCATTTAATGTTTGCAAATTTTAATTAAATGTTTTGTAAAATATAATGATAAATTTCAGGACCTTTGGGAAACTATAGAATGCAATTCTTTTATCATTCTAATTAATACTTCAAATATAATGAAATAAATTAAGCTTGAAATCTCGATAAAATAGAATGAAAAAATCACTTGAATATTACATCACATACAAATATAAAATAAAGATGTTTTCTTGATGCAAATTAAAGTAAAATAGGTTTCTCTTTAGCTGGACCAAGATTTTTAAAAGAGATATTCTTGAGATATTCCTCTAAAAACAATATATATAATATTTTCATGTACTAATTAAGAGGGTGAAGAGGATGAACAATTAAATAATAAAAAATAAATATTAGGGTGAATATAATGTCTTAATGAATTTTCATCATATATACAATTATCTGTTTTTTCATTATAAATATTTCTGAAATAGCCTTGTCTTTAATTAATAAAGATTATCAAATATAATACTATTCATTGTTTTTTTTTAATTAGAAATTATAGAATGTTGGATCAACTGCTATTATAATATAACTTGTATTAAGAGCTCTTATCGAAAATGAATGAGTGATATTTTGAGCGATACTTTAAGACCTTTTCAAAATTAATAATTGAATTGATAATTCTAATCAAATTAGAATAAAGGTTATTAAGAAAGTCTTATTTTTGTAAATCATCAAATTACATATACCTAAACTCTTTGGTAAGTTCTAAATATATTAGTATTCTACTCTTAAAATTAAATTTGTGCGAAAATAAATTAGTCAACTTCTGATAAAAATAACTCTAAGTGAAAACAGTCTAACAGTATATAATTAGAAAATAAAAGTCAATATTTATGATATTATTAAATGCTAGTAGCTCATATATCCATCTTAGAGGCATATCAAGGCATAGGAACTTTAGATTTTTCAATTAGTGATGAAAAATAAACACATATCGAAAATTTCTAACAAATTTATGAAATATATAGAAAATATTTTTGAAAAAGGATACTACCTTGTGACTAAAGATTAAAAGTAATGCATAGTAATTGCCTGTTGAATATCATTGTTTATTTCTATGTTTTAAGATGATATGAAAATAAAAAATCTTTGAAAATAACATAAAGATATTGTTTTTTCTTTTATTCTTATATATATGTATTTATTATAATTCTGATTATGAAAGCCATAATCAAAAAATATCCATCATCCAATGTTCATATTTATTGTTTATATGTTATTTATCCATTTATCCATTTTTCTGATTTGTCTTTTTCCTTTACCTCAAGGAATCATATTTAAATTTAATTTTAAGTGATCAATTATAAGGTGTTGATAATTTGCCTATATGCTTTAATTATTTTTCAAGATCTTAAAGATGTATTTGAATGACCTAAGTCTCAAATTCTCGAATTAATTGTTAGCTAACTATAATTTGCAAATATTCGAATTCCATTTATTCAACTCTATATAAAATTCCATAATAAATAGTCTAGGCACAGGGAAAAAGGTGTTGGGATATTGATGATGCTGAAGCAACTCCATTACTAAGCCAGTATTTACTATTCTTTTTGGTTTGTCGTTATAATAAATAATGTAATGAAGTTTTTCTAAAAATTAATTCTCTTATGGCTCAATATTTTCATATATTTAAGAATTGCATAAAGTCTTCTCATATAAACTCATAGCAATCACTTTCAAAATCAAAGAAAATCAGGTTTAATTTGGGCAATTAATTAGTCTAATTTTTATTATGCGATTTTGCCTTAGATAAACCTTTTTAAGTATTGACTGATATTAATTAATGACATTATTTTATTCAATCATCAAATTCATTAGGTTGTTCAGTTAAGGCTTGCTGAATTCAATTTATTTTCACAACAAATATATTAATTATGCTGGAGTCCATTTTACTGATAATATATACCCTTAATAATTTTGATTCAACAATAATGTTATCTCGAAATTGAATTGAAATAATTAAATAAGTGTGATTAATGCATTAAAATTATTAATTCGATTTTTAAAAACAACATTTTGCACATAGAGATTTTCATCAGAATAAATTCTGATTCCTTTCTTTTACTAATGCCATTTTATTGACATTCTTATTCATTAATTGAAATTTGAATCTTCAATTTAATCAAATCTTATTTTAGGAGTACATATAGTAGTTAAGGTATTATTTTAATATATTATTCATTATTTTCAAAGTTAATTAATTTTATAAGAGTTCTATGATGGGAAATGCTCAAATTATTATTATGTATTTATCAAGATATCTATTTTATAG